CTGAAAAACAAACTGAGGGTTCTAGAGGAGAGGGGGGCGGGGGGATGGGTTAGCCTGGTGATGGGTATTAAAGAGGGCACGTTCTGCGTGGAGCACTTTGTTTTATGCACAAACAATGAATCATGGAACACTACATCAAAAACTAATGATGTAATGTATGGTGATTAACATAACAATAAAAAATTAAAAAATAAAATAAAATTATGAATGAAAGGCGAGAGATCACGACTAACACCAGGGAAATAGAAACAAATATTAGAAATTATTATCAACAACTATATGCCAAAAAACTGAGCCATCTGAATGAAATGGAGGCCTTCCTTAAAACCTATAAGCTGCCAAGACTGAAGCAGGAAGAAATTGACAACCTGACTGGGCCAATAACCAGTAACGAGATTGAAGCAGTGATCAAAAAGCTCCCAAAAAACAAGAGTCCAGGGCCTGATGGATTCCCTGGGGAATTCTACCAAACATTCAAAGAAGAAATAATACCTATTCTCCTGAAGCTGTTTCAAAAAATAGAAACAGAAGGAAAACTTCTAAACTCATTCTATGAGGCCAGCATTACCTCAATCCCCAAACCAGGCAAAGGCCCCATCAAAAAGGAGAATTTCAGACCAATATCCCTGATGAATATGGATTCCAATATCCTCAACAAAATCCTAGCTAATAGGATCCAACAATACATTAAAAGGATCATCCCCCACGACCAAGTGGGATTTCTCCACGGGATGCAAGGGTGGTTCAACATTTGCAAATCAATCAATGTGATACAACACATTAATAAGAGGAGGGAGAAGAAACATATGGTCCTCTCAATTGATGCAGAAAAAGCATGTGACAAAATACAACATCCTTTCCTGATTAAAACTCTTCAGAGTATAGGGATAGAGGGAACAATCCTCAAGTTCATAAAATCCTTCTATGAAAAACCCACAGCGAATATCATCCTCAATGGGGAAAAGCTGAGAGCCTTTCCCTTAAGATCAGGAACACGTCAAGGATGCCCATTCTCCCCACTATTGTTCCACATCATATTAGAAGTCCTAGCAACAGCAATCAGACAACAAAAAGAAATAAAAAGTATTCAAATTGGGAAAGAGAAGTCAAACTCTCTCTTTTCACAGACGACATGATACTTTATGTGGAAAATCCAAAAGACTCCACCCCCAAATTACTAGAACTCATACAGCAATTCAGTAATGTGGCAGGATACAAAATCAATGCACAGAAATCAGCTGCTTTCTTATACACTAACAACACAACTGTAGAAAGAGAAATTAGAGAAACGATTCCACTTACAATAGCACCAAAAACCATAAAATACTTTGGAATAAACCTAACCAAAGAGGTAAAGGATCTATACTCTAGGAACTACAGAACACTTATGAAAGAAATTGAAGGAGACACAGAAAGATGGAAAAATATTCCATGCTCATTGATTGGAAGAATAAACATTGTTAAAATCTCTATGCTACCCAGAGTAATCTATACCTTCAATGCCATCCCGATCAAAATTCCAATGACATTTTTCAAAGTGCTGGAACAAAGAATCCTAAAATTTGTATGGAATCAGAAAAGACCCCGAATTGCCAAGGAAATGTTGAAAAAGAAAAACAAAGCTGGGGGCATCATGTTGCCCGATTTCAAGCTCTATTACAAAGCAGTGATCACCAAGACAGCATGGTACTGGCACAAAAACAGACATATAGACCAATGGAAGAGAATAGAGAACCCAGATATGGACCCTCAACTCTATGGTCAAATAATCTTTGACAAAGCAGGAAAAAATATGCAATGGAAAAAAGACAGTCTCTTCAATCAATGGTGCTGGGAAAATTGGACAGCCACATGCAAAAGAATGAAACTCGACCATTCTCTAACACCATTCCCAAAGATAAACTCAAAGTGGATGAAAGACCTCAATGTGAGACAGGAATCCATCAAAATCCTAGAGGAGAACATAGGCAGTAACCTCTTTGACATCGCTCACAGCAACTTCTTTCAAGATACATCTCCAAAAGCTAGTGAAACAAAAGCAAAAATGAACTTTTGGGACTTCATCAAGATAAAAAGCTCCTGTACAGCAAAGGAAACAGTCCACAAAACAAGGAGGCAACCCACAGAATGGGAGAAGATATTTGCAAATGACACTACAGATAAAGGGCTGGTATCCAAGATCTATAAAGAACTTTTCAAACTCAACACCCAAAAACCAAATAATCAAGTCAAAAAGTGGGCAGAAGATATGAAAAGACAGTTCTCTGAAGAAGACAGACAAATGGCTAACAGACATATGAAAAAATGTTCATCATCATTAGCCATCAGGGAAATTCAAATCAAAACCACATTGAGATACCACCTCACACCAGTTAGAATGGCAAAAATGGACAGGGAAAGAAACAACAAATGTGGGAGAGATTGTGGAGAAAGGGGAACCCTCTCACACTGTTGGTGGGAATGCAAGTTGGTACAGCCACTTTGGAAAACAGTGTGGAGGTTCCTCAAAAATTTAAAAATAGAGCTACCCTGTAACCCAGCAATTGCACTACTGGGTATTTACTCCAAAGACACAGATGTAGTGAAAAGAAGGGGCATATGCACCCCAATGTTCATAGCAGCAATGTCCGCAATAGCCAGACTGTGGAAAGAGCCGAGATGCCCTTCACCCAGATGAATGGATAAAGAAGATGTGGTCCATATATACAATGGAATATTACTCAGCCATCAGAAAGGATGAATACCCAACTTTTACATCCACATGGATGGGACTGGAGGAGATGATGCTCAGTGAAATAAGTCAAGCAGAGAAAGTCAATTAGCATATGGTTTCACTTATTTGTGGTACATAAGGAACAGCATGGAGGACATTAGGAGAAGGAAGGGAAAAATAAAGGGGGGGAATCGGGGGGAGAGATGAACCATGAGAGACTATGGACTCTGAGAGACAAACAGGGTTTTAGAGGGGAGGGGGGAGGGGGGATTGGTTAGCCCGGTGATGGGCATTAAAGAGGGCACGTTCTGCATAGAGCACTGGGTGTTATGCACAAACAATGAATCATGGAGCACTACATCAAAAACTAATGATGTACAAAAGGAATGAGATCTTACCATTTGCAATGATGTGGATGGAACTGGAGGGTGTTATGCTGAGTGAAATAAGTCAATCAGAGAAAGACATGTATCATATGACCTCACTGATATGAAGAATTCTTAATCTCAGGAAACAAACTGAGTGTTGCTGGAGTGGTGGGGGGTGGGAAGGATGGGGTGGCTGGGTGATAGACACTGGGGAGGGTATGTGCTATGGTGAGCGCTGTGAATTGTGCAAGACTGGTGAATCACAGATCTGTACTTCTGAAACAAATAATGCAATATATGTTAAGAAAAAAAAAAGAAGAAGATAGCAGGAGGGGAAGAATGAAGGGGAGTAAGTCAGAGGGGGAGACGAACCATGGAGAGGATGGACTCTGAACAACAAACTGAGAGTTCTAGAGGGGAGGAATGTAGGGGGATGGGTTAGCCTGGTGATGGGTATTAAAGAGGGCACATTCTGCATGGAGCACTGGGTGTTATGCACGAACAATGAATCATGGAACACTACATCAAAAACTAATGATGTAATGTATGGTGATTAACATAACAATAAAAATATTTTTAAAAAACTAATGATGTAATGTATGGTGATTAACATAACATAATAAAAAAAGAATATGGGTTTGCATTCTGTCTGCCATGCAATGGTTTATGGCAATGGCTGGTTAACTCCACTTGAATCTCAGTTTTCCCATCTGTAAAATGAGGATAATAATTGTACTTGCCTCTAAAGTTCATGTGAGAGTCATCCAAACACTCAATAAACATGAGCTCAAGGAGGTAGAAAAATATATATAAGTTGCAAAACTTGTGATGATTTTTCTTAAGTGATGACCAAGACCATCCTGTTTGCATAATATTTTTAAATGTGAACAGAATGTTGTCTTTATTATATTATCCTGTTTTGTGATAGATTTACTCTTTTAAATATTTTATATTGATTTCTTTGTCAAAATAAATGTTTTAGGAATTAATAACTTGTTGTGCCTGTGAATCACAAAATAATGGTTTTTATTGTATCTGGTAATGGCAAGGGTAGGGCTGGGGGGCAGTGGCCTTTGCATTAAGATTCATTTTCATGAGTTATAACCCCGAGGGACAGAAGGCTAAGGTTAAATCAGGAACACTGCTTGGAGGTGACCTAAGAGTCATAATTTTAAGGAGGTGGTGTGTGATCTACAGGGAGCAGACTTTTTTCAGGCCTCGGATAGGCTGTTGAACTCTGGTTCTTCCATTCAGTGACACAAGCAAGATTCAAAGTCAAACCTGAGTGCTCTGGGCTCAAGTTTGCCACAGAACTTTCAGAGCAAAGATCCAAATAATACGATCTTTCGAGTAAGGTGTAAAATCCAAACTGAGAGCATTAGATGAAAAAGTACACCTCATTTAGAAGTAATCTTGTAGATGGTGATCACAAAGTCACCACATCACACAATTACCTTTATGCTGTGGTGCTTCACTGGTTTTCGAGACTGGGTAAAAAGACACCATGTCTGTGTTAGGGGGGAAAAAAAAACAACAACAACCCAAAGCACACAGACCTTTTCCGGAAGTGTTTGGAACCATTCTGGGACACCTCTGGTGTGGTTCCAGAAATAAAGAGCACAATACAAGATACTTAGAAGAGACGCTAGTCCAGGGCCTCCTCAAACACAAGCCACCTGTTTGATGAAGGCCTTGCAGTTCTGGAGTTCATGAAACTACACTCTGGCCCTGCAGCTAATGTCCCTCCAAGCCTGCCCAGACCTGGCTTTGCCAACCAGCCTGGTCCATCCACACCTCCAGAACTTCTCCTCACCCTGTCATCAAAGGTGCTTGGAGGACAATGGTCACTCCTAGATCCCAGGTCCCCAAATCTTCATGATGATACCTCTCTTGCCCAAATGAAATTCAAGGATCTTTACCTTCCCAGGGTTGATATTCTGTTTCTTTCTTGCTTTCAAAATTGGGAAGGATGTCAAACTGCAGTTCCTTGGTTTTTTAGCATCCATGTTAGTCCTGCAGGAGGAAGAATAAAAAGTACATTGGTAGTAGGAGCAAAATATAAGTAATGGCACCCACACCCAGGGATGGGAAGAATGAGGGCAGGCTTAGAGATAAAAAGTGGCAGGCCTAGGGTGCCTGGGTGGCTCAGTCGGTTAAGCATCTGCCTTCAGCTCAGGTCATGATCCCAGGGTCCTGGGATCGAGCCCCACGTGGGGCCCCTTGCTCTGTGGGAAGCCTGCTTCTCCCTCTGCCTCTGCCTCTCCCCCTACTTGTGTACACTTTTTCTCTCTTATAAAAATACTTTGAAAAAAAAAAAGTGTCAGGCCTAAAAACAGTGGCTGAGTGTCTGCTGCTAACTCCTTTTTTTTCCCTCCTGGTGGCTGATGATGTCAGGAGAGGGGGTGTCTTGGCATCAGCCCTTGGGTGCTCAGGGCAAAGGGAGATGGCAGCCCAGGAAGGAAGATGAGCTAACGAGGTGGCCAGCAGTTTAGGACACCAAACAAAAAGACCCATTTCCTCTAGCTCACTGCAAAGTAAACCATTCTCTTACCACAACCACCTTTTGCTCTGAAAGATACATATATAAGCGGTTACTCGGTAGCTTAAAGCCTACAGAAAAAGAAAAGGGACAATGGATAGAAACGCTTTGCCTGGAATTCATTAGGCATTTTTTGCACCTTCTTTATTCAGAGCAGAGCTGTATGAAAAATGAACTCACTGCAAGACGAAAAGCTAATTTGCATTAAGTTTATGGAATCTGGTTAAAGCGACAATTTATGTAAATGGAAGAGTCTTAAAGGATCTGACGCCACTGTTACAAGCCCGTTCCATTAACAGACAGCTGCTGGAACTCTGTTTTGTGTCCCTTTGAAGATCCTTTTCAGCCTCTAACTCTAACAAGAGCCAAGGTAGCCAAGGACATCTGAACAAGGACAGAACAGGGATCAGTGTGAATGTTATTCTGGCTTCTGTAAACCACTCCATTGGAAGGTTCTTCAAGACCCTATAATAAATGGTGACAGCATCACAATTCTGAAATTATTCAGAGGACTCAAGACACGTCCCGCCCACTATTATCACAGCATAATGTTGAAAAAAACCAGAAATTACTTGTCTATATATAATGAGAAGTTAAAAAATATGGCACATATGTATTATAGAATATGACGTGATCACTTTAAAAAATGAAGTCTCTATGTATGCCTGTAATGTATTGAATAAAAACAGAACAATATGCATGATTCCATATTTGTTTAAGAAAAAAATAAGATGGGGGCGCCTGGGTGGCTCAGTCAGTTAAGCGTCTGCCTTCAGCTCAGGTCATGATCCCATCGAGCCCCGCGTCGGGCTCCCTGTTCGGCAGGAAACCTGCTTCTCCCTCTCCCACTCCCCCTGCTTGTGTTCCCTCTCTCGCTGTGTCTCTCTCTCTCTGTCAAATAAATAAATAAAATCTTTAAAAAGAAAAAAACGAGGTGGAGGTGCCTGCGTGGCTTAGTCCATTGAGATTCTGCCTTTGGCTCAGGTCATGATCTCGGGGTCCTGGGATTGAGCCTGGAGTTGAGCTCCCTGCTCAGTGGGCTCCCTGCATCTCTCCCTCTGCCCCTCCCCCTGATCGCGCTGTCTCTCTCACTCTTTCTTTTCTCTCAAACAAATAAATAAAATCTTTAAAAGAAAAAAACAAGATGTTTGCATGTCTTAATCAGGTATATTGAAGAACATAGAAAAAATAAAAATAATTACCTCCTTTGAGGGGTGGAGCTGGGGGAGGTGAGTGGGAACATGAATTTTAACACACACACACACAATATGAAAAAATCCTATGCAAGAGTAAACAAAAAGTAATAGTTGCTTCTCTTCAAATGATCATAATGTCACTTCTTTCTTCCCTTCCTTCCTTTACAAACATTTGCTGAGATAATTCTTCTGATAAACCAGACATAGCCTCTGCCCTTAAGGAGAGTTCATTATCTAGGAGGGAGACACATGGAAACAGGTCATTACAATGCACATGATCAGGGCAGTAATAGAGGCCAGTGCAACGAGCTAATGAAGCACACTGCAGGGGGCGAGGGAGCCTTCACACCTGAGCAGAGTAGAACTGTCCTTGAAGAATAAACAGACAGGCATGGAGTCAAGAGCAGATGGACAAGACAGCAACCAAACAGTAGGAAAGAGCGCTGTGTTCTTCAGAAAGTGTGAGCACATGGACATTACTGTAGAGGGCTAGAGAGGTGGTTAGACTGTAAAGAAAGGGTCGCATGGTTCATTCTAGGTCTGACAAAATCAGATTTGGACTTAGGATCATCTCTCTGGCAATACCATGGAACAAGGTTCAGAGGAGCTCAAGTAGGAAGCTGTCTTGAGCATCAAGGCAAGAGAGGATGAGGACCTCAACCAAGGCCATGTGAGGACACAGTGGAAGTGGGAACTTGGGAATAATTTGGGAGACAGAACTGGTAGAATTTTGGCCATCAATTTGATATGAGGGTTGCAAAATCCAAACATGGGGTAAGAATGAATACAATTCTTCCTGCCAAGGCTCTGTATCAAATGCTCCCTCCATCTATTCCACAAGGATGTGGGAGACAATCAAGTCCACATCCTCTTTCCTAGCCAGTGGAGCTCTTTTCGTCTATTCAGCTTCTGGGGCTCCGTAGGTGAAGAGAACATGAAGACCTCAAGAAGATGCTGCGGCATCTTGGAGTCTAGTCTCAGTGCTGTCCCCAGATAGATTCTGAGCAAGTCATATGCCTTGTCTATCCTCAGTTTCCCCATTTGTAAGATGACAGGACTGGACTAGATGGCCTCTGATGTCCCTTCCAGTTCTAAGCTTCTTTGATGCTAACTTTATTAAATATTGCCAGATTGGAAAAGTTCTGTTGTGGCTTATTCCACGAGTTCACTCCTTTGGATAATTCTGTGGTCATCAAAGACTATCTTGTGCCTTTTTTTATTTCCTAAGAATGCATTCAGTCTAGCTTCAATTTAATCCATGACACATAACCTATGTTCAAAGCTTCACAAATGCTACTTTTTATCCTCAGAATAGGTGGTGAACTATGAGAATGTTTTATATCTTGTTTATAACTGCTGCATGAAGGGTCAAAGATAAGAAACTCACCTCAGAGCTAGAATGAATACGGCTTTGAGAACTGAAACTAAAATTTAAAAGTTCCTCCTATTATTTTACATGGAGATTAGTTTCCCTACCTCTCCAGTTTAGACCCATCGCCTTCCTCTGGATTTCAGCACTTTTGTGTGTGGAGATCATTTTGTCACTTGGTCAACAACTTGAGTGTTAATTATTTTAGGGGCATACATTTCATTTCATCTTGATTGTGAATCTCTTGGAGGCAAGAATGATGAGCTCGGATTTTATTTTATTCCTTACATTCCTCCTTTGGACAAGGACAATGACTTGTCTGCTGAAAGCTCTTGGTACAAATGTGCTGAGAAAGAGACATCTAAGATAATTTAGATTAATTCATCAAAAAATTTGAGACCACCATCTGAATGCCAGAGACTGTGTTAAGCATGGGGGCCTGAGAGATAGGTAAAACAGAATCCTTGCTTTCAAGGAGAGTTCAGGGTCTGGTAGGCATGACAGAGCCATCAACAGTGGGGCCAGCCTTAACTGTATACATAGCATTTTATATTTATTGTGTTATCTATGTACACCAATCTTCAATGCCCAGTAAAGAAATATATCTTTTGAGATTTATTTCTATTGCAGTTGTCAAGTAGCTTGATCTTTATGCCCTGGAGAGCTACGTTTGGGGCAGAAATTGTGGCAGTGTAGGACTGGCAGGTACTCCCTTTGCATTTCTGTGGATAGGAGATAATGTACTTAATGTATTTAAGTTACTCTCACTGCTGCAAAGAGAACTCCTTGGCCTCTCTGCAATTATCCTTGAAACTCTTCATGGTCCATGGACTCTCAGAGCTGGAAGAGGTTTTAGGGGCCATTCATCCATTTTCCCACCCCGGCAGAAGTCCTCTTTAGAGTATCCCCAGCAATCATTCAGTCTCTGCTTGAATATTCCTGTGACAGAGCTCACTGTTTTTCCGGGCAACCCATTTCACCTCTGGCTGCTTATACGTATGGTTGGTGCTCAGCCAATGTCGGTGGCAAGAAATGATACTGAGCAACATATCCTCCACAAATACTTGCTATCCTCTGCAGAACAACAAAGAACACACCTACCCTCTCTTCTACTCCAAGAGCTCTTGAATATTCAAAACAGTGCCTTCTTACCTCCCTGGCACCTACTCAGCTCCAGGCATTCTGTAGTTTTATTTCAAGCATGTCTTCGTAGGATAGAGCATCCAGGCATGACAGAGAGAACTTGTATTGTGATTGTCCCTCTCTACTTTCTAGTTTTTTTTATGACCTTGTTTTAAGTGGCTACCGTTTTCTAGAGTCTAGATTATGTACTAATCAATGTTAAATCAGCCAGCGAGATCTTTACATCACTCACCTGGTCACTGTATTTCTATTAATGAAGTCTAGACCAGTATTTGCCCCTTTCAGCTGTCACAACACACTCATGTTGGATTTGGGATCAGCTAAAACCATGGACTCCCAGCACTGGGTCCTCCACAAATTTGCGAAGTATGTATTCTAGCCAAGTTCCTGACAACAGTATGGAGCTGGAGAAGGCAAAGTCAAAGAGTGGCTGGCACACCACTCGAGACTCCTTTCAGGTTTCTCATTACCCTCTTGATAAGGACTAAAACCGAGAAGGGAAGTAAAAGACATAAGTCCCAGAACTAATTAGGCACAATCCAGGTTTGAAGGATTCCCTAAAACTCCTAGATTTTACATATTTAACACACACAGATGATTAAATCCCTCGAGCAAGACTAGCAGCAAAGGACACATTTGTCCTTTCATAGTTTGAACTTTCTATAAATGGCCTTGCACCTTTGCCAGGTCTCCATTGAATCCTGAACAGTGAAGCTTGAGTTAAGATTGTTGACAATCAGTCATTTAAAACAAGTCAGAGGGGTCACAAGTTACTTACGCCCTGAATTGGCGGATGGACGTTTCAAACGTAGCAAGTAGCACAAATCAACTACAGATTAAAAAAAAAAAAAAATCCAAATTTTGCATTGTTCATCCCCCTTTTAAGGAAAATATTTGCTAGGACGAGCATTACCCTAGAGTGGCAAGTACGACCCAGAGGAAAAGGGATGCTCTGGACGTACCTATGATGGATCCACACACAGCTTAAAGCTGTCTTGCTTTGGGCTCTGGTTGAGCATGGAGGCTTCAAGCAGATGGGCTGGGCCAGGATAGGCTGGTATCAGCCACATCCTAGGACATCCACGTGAGGCGTGGGGTTGTGGGCTCACTTTTGACCTCCAAAAGGACCAGCCACGCCCTGAAGATAAAGGGGGAGGAAAGTTTTGCGCCCCACGTTGTCGGGGTCAGGGCTGGAAGCAATTTCAGGAGAGGTCTTAGGAGTTTCCTAAAATCCATCTCTCCCCACCCCGCACTCAGCCGAGGTCTGCGATGCAACTTTCTGTTAGGAGCAAACTACATGGATGTCAGGTTGTGAGGATGCGGCGGTTCAGAGCACTTCCGTCCGCGCTCACACCCCGTGCCTCTCTCCTCCGACCACACTCCCCCTGCTATTTCGCATTCTCCGCACCTCCCTTCTCCCCGCTTCCCCAGCCTTCTTCCCCCGTTGCCCCAGATGCTTCTGCCCCACCGCGGTCCCTTCCTCCCCGCTGGCGCTGAGCGCTGCCTTACTCTGTCCGGGCGCCGGCAGGTGGTGGGAAGAGCTGCATGGGGCTGGCGCACACTGCCCGGCGGCCGTTGCGGGGCGCTTGCTCCCGCCCGCACCGGCCGGGGACCACGCCCTCCTCCCGTCTCTATAGAAACTCTGGCCGCTCTTTTTGTGACTCCGGCCGCGGAAAGGACTTAGACTTTGGTTCCGTCCCAAACCACCGTTCACATCAGCATAAAGAACACCTCTCTTCCTCCCCTACTCCCATTCTCTCGCCTCAGGTAGAGTTGAAGGACATCCCAAGAATGGGGAGATTCGAGTTCACCGAACTACCCGGGCTCATGAAATTATTCCTACTTTCTCCCTCTTCCAGAAAGGTTGTGGTTCCCCGAAGCTCATGGCAAAAGTTCCAGATATAAAGTATTCATCAGATGAGCACTTTCTGAGCATTGACTCTGCACCAGGTTTTAAATGCATGAAAACTAATTAAAGTTCTAGCTAAATGACAGTAGCGGGGCCTGGAGGAATATCGTCTGGTCTCAGGAGGAAACAGACATTCAAAAAAAGCTTTTAGAAAGATGAGTTGAATTTGAGTCTTCAAGGCCAAATAGTAATTAGCAACGTAAAGCAGACAGGTAAGAGCCCGTGTAAAGGCCCTGAGCTAGGGGACCACATGGTATCACGGGTGCCGGCCTGTTGGGTGCGGCAAGTCAAAAGTGCATAGGGGGCAGCATGAGACCAGGTTGAAGCAGACGGGACAGCCAGATTTGAAATATCTCATGAACTAAACAGGCTAGGGTTTTTGTATGTGGATTTTAAGCAGAGCGGTGTTCATGCTCAGATTTTAGAAAACTTTCTGGCAAAATGGTATGGAGGGTAGACCAGAGTAGGTTAAGAATCAAGGCAAGGATGCCTGTTAATAGTGAGTGATGTTTCAGAGTAAGGGACGGCAGGTGGAAAAACAGTTCTGAGCAATTTACAAAATGGGAGAGCTCAGTGACTGGATGTGAGGGGCGGAAGTGCCCCAGGCCCTCCAGTTGATAGTGGTGCCATTTACTAACAAAATCTAGGAGGGGAAACACGGAGGATAGGGAGGATATTACTGATTTACTGGTGATTTATTGCATCAGATTATCAATGAACCAGGCTCTTGCACAGAGCAAGATCTGGGCTAAAAAAATCCTGACTTGGGAGTCATTGTCACATAGGTGACCACTGGAGCTTGAAGTCACCTAAGCTTGAAAAGGGGGGGGGCAGGGGAAAAGAATGGAATCGCACAGAATAGGGCACTATGGTGGAAGAGTGGATGTAGGTGACACAAGATTGTAAGTCTGCAAAATAATGAAGAGCAGGAAGGGATATGGGGAGAAAACTAAAAAAGAATAGTGTCATGTGAGTCCAGTAAATAAAATATATTAATAGGCAGGTTATGATGAGCAGGGTCTGTAAGATTAGGTGAGAAAACTGTACACTGGATTTGACAGACAGGTCATTAGTGCTTTCTGCAAGGCCGGTTTTAGCATAATTTAAGGTAATTTTCAGGATAAGCTATTACTTTTTTTAAAAGATTTTATTTTAGAGAGAGAGAGAGAGCAAGCATGAGTGGGGGAGGGGCAGAGGGAGAGAATCCCAAGCAGACTCTTGGCTGAGTGCAAGCCCAGTGCAAGACCATGACCTGAGCCGAAATCAAGAGTTGGATTCTTAACCAAATGAGCCACGCAGGTGCCCCCAAACTTACTTTGAATAACACAGAGGAAACAGGTTCATCAGGCTGGTGCCAGATGATTAATCAGTGATAGCAGTACCTAATACAGGGTAGGCTCTTAATAAATTTTTACTGTTGAACTGCACCATATAGAGCACCTTAATACCTTGTAACTGTATACATGTTTTAAGAAGGGGATGCAGTGGGGTAGGTGAGGTGGTATACAACAGTATAAAAATATATACAGGAAAAAAATGTACAATAGCAATAAGCAAATGCTCAATTTTTTTTTAAAGATTTTATTCCTTTGAGAGAGAGAGAGAGACACAGAGCATGAGCAGGGGGTAGGGGGAGAGGGAGAAGCAGACTCCACACTGAGCAAGGAGCCCGACACGGAGCTTGAGCCCAGGACCCTGGGATCATGACCTGAGCCGAAGGCAGACGCTTAACTGACTGAGCCACCCAGGCGCCCCTGCAAATGCTCACTTTAATCATTTTTCTAAATTCCTTATTTTCACATTAACATAGATGTTTCTATAAACCAAGAAAAACTGAACCAATAATATTATACATTTTAATGGTTAACATGATTTTTTAAAAGATTTTACTTATCCATTTGAGCAAAAAAAAGAGAGAGAGAGACTTTGAGGAGCAGGAGAGGAGCAGAGATGGAGGGAGAGGGAGAGGAAAGAATCTCGAGAGATTCTGTGTTCGGCACGGAGCTCAAACCCACAACCCCAAGATCATGACCTGAGCTGAAACCAAGTCAGACACTTAACCAACTGAGGCACCCAGGCGCCCCTAATGGTTAACATGATTTGAAGAATTTTTATTAAAAAGTGATCAGGAGCTGGTTGAAATTCTCACCATAAAATGTGAAATATCTACAACTATTTTTATTCATAACAAATTCACATTAAGCTTCCTGAAAAAGCTGTATTATCTAATATCATAATAGGGATGACTAAGTACTTGACAGCCACCCTCTAATCACTGGCTTCACAAAGTGATTATTCTAAGAAACAGCTCTCCCCCCCTTTATACTTACAACAAAAAGACTAACATATTTTTTTTTTTTTGCAAAACATTCATTTAATCGTGAAATGGAGACAATCAGAAATAGATGGATGCAATGGTATGAAGGAAAAGAGCATATCAAGACTCTTCCACTTTCATTAAAGGTTTTGGCAATGAGAGCTTCATAAAATCTCATGAAATTCTATTTGCTATATAATAAACATCTACTTCTGAGTAGGAGACATATGCCATATTATAGCAACCATTTTAATGTGTAAAATAATTGTGAATTCCTACTATAAAAATATTTGGCTAAAATATGAAACATCTTTGCAGTAAAACTGACAATGCAACCTAAGTTAAGATTTCAGAAATGTCTCCTGGAAAAAACGGGCATGTTTCCTTTTGCCATATAACCTCTCAACAGTGAAAGTTAAGGTGCCATAAATTAGACAAAGCTGGAAAGCGAAATCATCTTCTTAGAACAGTATGCAACGTGGACTTCTCCTTGTCAAACAGACAACCACTTAACGACGACTTATTACACACAGGAAAAAGAGAACACGTTCTTCAGAAGGAAATGACATCACAAAATAATTCTTATAAACAATCCTTTTCTTGAAGTCTTGAATAGCTTCAGAGAACATCATCACAAAATAGGTAGAGGCAATTCACATGACCTTAAAGGATTCCTTTATATTATGATGCCCTCCTTATATAGAAACACACTTCAAATATAAACACACTTGTAAAACTCTAATTCTCTTAAACATTTGTTTACCACCACACTCAGCTGCTAGCGGCGCTTGGATGTAAAGGTTTAACTCGCGCTAATCTGGACAAGCCAAGGCGGAGACTCCGATTGGGAGACTTAACAGACACCCCTGCCGGGGGGCTCCTCCTCCTGCTACTGCCGCTGCTTCCAGATACCGCTGAAAGAAAGCATAGCACTTGCTGCTGGCGGTGTTTGAAATCTCTTAACAAAGATCAACTTCTAAGACAGAAGATGCAAAAAGAAAAGCAGATACGGATTACTGTGGTATATAAGTTCTATCAAGCCATAAACAAGATCAAAAGAATGAACAGTATTAAAGGGCAGAAAAAATACAGTACTGCCTATTTTCAAACATGCTCAGAAGGCAAGTTAATGGCACCAAAACTTTAAGCACAAAAGCTGAAACAGGTAAGTTGGGAGAAAGTAACACTGGTTTTAAAGGCATGAAGAACTGCATGCAGTTATAATTTCTAAAGTAGCAGAAAAATCCAATGCATTTTTTGAAAATGCTGCAATTTTTACAAATACTCCTTGAATCTATTTTTTCAAATATTATATTATTGTAAACATGACAAATATTCTTTTTATTTATTTATACTAGTTTATTTAAGTGACATTATATGGTATTTGTCCTTCTCTGACTGGGGGTAGGAGTGGATGTGTGAAATAGGTAAGGGGGATGAAAGGGTAAGACGTACAAACTTCCAGTTATGAAATAAATAAGTCACGGAGATGAAAAGTCCAGCATAGGGAATATAGTCAATAATATTGTAATAACATTGTATGGGGACAAATGGTGACTATGCTTATCATGGTGAGCACTGAGTAGTGTGTGGAACTGCTGAATCAATATGTGCCTGATATTTTACAAGATGAAGTAATTAAGAGACATTAAGTGATCATGCAGTCTCAGACTGCAATCTTTTTTTAATAATGCTTTTTATTTATATTTCAAATTTTTATTTAAATTCTAGTAACACATAATGTAATATTAGTTTCAGGAGTACAACTGAGTGACTCCTCACTTATATATAACACCCAGTGCTTCTCACAACAAATGCCCTCCTTGATGCCCAACACTCCTTACTCCATCCCCCCACCCACCTCCCTTCCAGCAACCCTCAGTTTGTTCTCTATAGTTAAGAGTCTGTTATGGTTTGCCTTCCTCTCCTTTTTTTTTGCTTCCCCGATGTTCTTCTGGTTTTTTTCTTAAATTCCACATATGAGTGAGATCATATGGTATTTGTCTTTCCCTGACTGACTTATTTTGTTTAGCATAATACTCTCTAGTTCCATCCAAATGGCAAAGTTCATTCTTTTGGATGGTTGAGTAATATTCCATTGTATATATATACCACATCTTCTTTATCCATTCATCAGTTGATGGGTATCTGGGCTCTTTCTGTAATTTGGCTATTGTGGATAGTGCTGCTATAAACATCAGGGAGCAATACAAAAATACTGACTCAGACTGAAATCTGTCTATTAATACCTAGTTATCAGGGGGTGACCACTGTGGACCAATCAAGAAATGTCAGTGAGGGCGCCTGGGTGGCTCGGTTGGTTAAGCGACTGCCTTCGGCTCAAGTCATGATCCTGGAGTCCCGGGATCGAGTCCCGCATCGGGCTCCCTGCTCGGCGAGGAGCCTGCTTCTCCCTCTGACCCTCCCCCCTCTCATGTGCTCTGTCTCTGTCTCTCTCTCTCTCATTCTCACTCTCTCAAAATAAATGAATAAATCTTTAAAAAAAAGTCACCTTAAAAAAAAAAGAAATGTCAGTGAAAAGAAGTAAACCAACCTGAGTAGATTTGAAATGACTTAGAGAAGGCGAGGGGACAAATGAGGAGAGACATACCAGAGGAAGGAAAGTGGACAGAGAGAGGCTCTGACAGAAGACGACACACACTGTGTTTAAGGAAGAAAAACAGTATCAATCTCCCTGGACTAGACGGTTCATGTGGTTGGGTGAGAGGAAGTGCATACAGGACTAGTTAGGAGGCCACAGGTGGTTTGGGCATGAAATGAACAGGCCTGGACTAGGTTTTTGGTAATGTCGAGATAAGTGAAGGTCAAAGAATTCTTAAAGGATCAGTGAGGCTTGGTTGTGGAGCAAAAACAAAGGAAGAGAAGTCAAGTCTGCGAGGGCATTTGTTAAATGCTGGAAGCCCTGTGTACAGGTCCCGAGGCTTTAGTCAGACTGTGACCAGTGGGTCTTGAGCAAACCAATTTCTTGCCAAAAATAAGTATCAGGAATGTTAAATGTTAACACTCTTTGACACTGTAATTCCACCACTAGGAATTTGTCCTAAGAAAATAGTCAAGGATGTACCCACAGATTTCTAAAATAAGGACATTTGTGCTTATTGCAACCTTACTTATGACATTGAGAAAATAATAAACAATCTGGATGCTCAGTATAAGCATATAAGCATATAAGTATAAGGGAATGACATATGATGAATAAATGCAGCAATTACAAACCTTGGTTTTGAAGAGTATGTAATAATATGGTGTAAACACTTACAACTAGGGAAAAACATCTGCCAGTGATAATTTTCCAAGCCCCTGCCCTTGATCAATAAATATGCCATACCTGGGGGGATCCACTTAGATTTTCTGCTTTCAGCTGAAGGGCTGCATATTTGTAATGATTTCCTAGTGGCCTCTGAAGAAAGAGAAACCTTTTTTGGTGAAGGCTGAGATTCTGATTTCACAGCAGCTGGAACAGAGTCTCCTGAAGTCACTTAAAAAAAAAAAATACACACACACATACACACACACACACAGAGAGAGAGAGAGAGAGAAAGTAATGAGCACTGGGTGTTATATACAACTGATGAATCAACTTACATAATCTTATAAAAATTAAAAAGGCAACATCATAAATTTGGAAAACTCTTATTATACACAAACATTCACTGAGAGCCTAAGAATAGTCATTTTTATGAGCATTTGTAGGCAAGGCGGTGTGGTAAGCATTCCACATACACTATCTTTAACTCTCAGAGCAACTCTGATACAGATATTGCTATCCCCACTATCAGATAAGGAAACAGGCTAAGTAATCTGCCTAAAGTCTAATAGCTGCTAAGTACCTGAGCCAGGATTAGGAACCAGGTCCAAAGTCTATATCTGTAGCCATTACATAAAAGTGTCTCATCAGTACATGTCAATGAGACAATATATTAGGCTCTAGGGTTACAAAGAGTATAGCTCATGGATCTTGTTCCCAAGGAACTTAGACTCTAATAGAGTTCAGTCACTAGACTAGTAAAAAGCTCAGGTCGTGACCTCAGGGTCCTGGAGTCAAACCCTGCGTCGGGCTCCCTGCTCAGCAGGGAGCCTTGCTTCTCCCTCTCCCTCTGCTGCTCCCCCAGCTTGTGCTCTCGCTCTCTCAAATAAATAAATCTTTAAAAAAAAAAAAAGAAGGAAAGGAAGGAAGGAAAACCAAAGAAGCCCAAAACATGTGGCAAAGAGGGATCTCAAATCAAAGACTAAGTCAAGACTGAAAGCAAGAAATGAGAATCATGCAAACTTCCCTGTTTGCTACCTGGAAAAAATGTGGTCCAGTGGCTGGAGCTTGGGCTCTAAATGGACAAACATGGGTGCAAATTCCAGCAGCTCACATAATTAGTTGGAAGAATTCCAACAAATTCTTTAACCTGAACCTCAGTTTTCTCACCGTAAAATGCAGGTGACCCTAGCCATCTCGGAGGGGGACCGTCAGTGCTGCAGGAGGGTAATTCTAGTAAAAGCTCCACAGACAGTGGGGCTCAGAACTCTCGGCTGCTTTTCTCCCTTCCCCACCACCCCTTTCCTTCTGTGTATCTTAGCTAGAAGTGAACACTGGCAAAATGTTAAGGAGAACAAAGGCAGAGAGAAGAAAAACATTAAATAAACCAAATACATTCCCTTTATAAAATTAAGTGTTTTGGACTAGGCTTACCCAAAGTATCACATTTGGATTTAGGTTTCTTCTCCTTCTTTTCAACTGGGGATTTTAGCCTCACTTCTTTCTTCTTAATTTCTTTCACTTTATTTTTTCCCTTAGTGAAGCCTTCATCATTGTCTTCACTCTCATTAAAATCAGAGTCATCCTCAGACTCTTCATCTAAAACAGAGGATTACATACTTGATCTCTGTTCTAAAAAGTGAGGCTTCCATGTATACCTGAAACTAATATAACACTGCATGTCAATTTACTTCGATTTTTAAACAAAGTGAGGTCTATTGCCTCGACTTTACAGCCTTTGCACTCAATTCTTGGGCACCTCGTGCTATGCTATGCCACCACAGGACTGAGAGTATGGTTGCCTGGGTTTGAATCCTGGCCCCTCTGCTTACACTTTGTGTGACCTCAGACAGGCCGCTCACCTCACCGTGCTTAAGTTTCCTATGTATAAAATGAAGATCATCATAATATGGTGATTAACATAACAATAAAAAAAATTAAAAAAAAAAAATGAAGATCATCATAAAGCCTACATGAGAGGGTTGTTGTGCAGATTAAATGAGTTAATATAGGTAAAGCATTTAGAATAACATGTGGCAAACAGCAAGCAAAACAGAACTGTTTGCTCTTACTATTATCATTATAATTTCCCATCAGTAATCTTTACTTCCAATTTTTCCAATTTAACTTAGTAACTTTTTAAAGTACGGCATAATATTATCAACTCCTTCAAAACAAGGACCTTGATGGTAATAACAGTATACTTTCCTTTAATCAAATAAACTTCAACATTCTAGAATAGAAACCCATTAGGAATCGAGAAGAGACTAACCATACCACAACATATTAACTGATAATCCTACGTCTGATTTCATTTGGGACACACCTTTCATTTCCCACAAGCTCTTCTCTGTATTATATGGGATGATACAAGCTAGTGGGGTGATATGTTAAGTAGCTACGGCTGCTCTGGAAATCAACATATTTCACACACTTGGAACAAATAATCCTAAAATTTGTATGGAACCAGAAAAGACCCCGAATAACCAAAGGAATATTGAAAAAGAAAACCAAAGCTGGTGGCATCACAATTCCAGACTTCCAGCTCTATTACAAAGCTGTCATCATCAAGACAGTATGGTACTGGCACAAAAACAGATGCACAGATCAGTGGAACAGAACAGAGACCCCAGAAATGGACCCTCAACTCTATGGTCAACTAATCTTCAACAAAGGAGGAAAGAATAACCAATGGAAAAAAGACAGTCTCTTCAACAAATAGTGTTGGGAAAACTAGAGAGCAACATGCAGAAGAATGAAACTGGACCATTTTCTTACACCATACACAACAATAGACTCAAAATGGATGGAAGACCTAAATGTGAGACAGGAATCCATCAAAATCCTAGAAGAGAACACAGGCAGCAACCTCTGTGACCTCGGCCACAGCAAATTCTTGCTAGACACATCTCCAAAGGCAAGGGAAACAAAAGCAAAAATGAACTATTGGCACTTCATCAAGATAAAAAGTTTCTGCACAGCAAAGGAAACAGTCAACAAAACAAAGAGGCAACTCACAGATGGGAGAAGATATTTGCAAATATCTTTTCAGATAAAAGGCTAATATCCAAGATCTATAAAGAACTTAGTAAATACCCAAAAAACAAATAATCCAGTCAAGAAATGGGCAGAAGGCATGAACAGACACTTCTCCAAAGAAGACACACAAATAGCCAACAGACACATGAAAAAATGCTCACCACCATTCATCATCAGGGAAATACAAATCAAAACCTCAATGAGATACCACCTCACACCAATCAGAATGGCTAAAATTAACAAGTCAGGAAACAACAAATGTTGGCAAGGATGCAGAGAAAAGGGAACTCTCTTACACTCCTGGTGGGAATGCAAGCTGGTACAACCACTCTGGAAAACAGTATAGAGGTTCCCCAGGTAGTGCACTATTAGGTATTTATCCAAAGGATACAAACATAGTGATCTGAAGGGGTACCTGCATCCCAATGTTTATGGCAGCAATGTCCACAATGGCCAAACTATGGAAAGAGCCAAGATGTCCATTGACAGATGAATGGATAAAGAAGATGTGGACTATTACTCAGCCATCAAAAAAAAAATGAAATCTTGCCATTTGCAACAACGTGGATGGAACTAGAGGGTATTAAGCTAAGCAAAATAAGTCAATCAGAGAAAGACAATTATCATATGGTGTTACTCATATGTGGAATTTAAGAAACAAAAAAACAGAGGCTCATAGAGGAAGGGAGGAAAAAATAAAATAGACGAAATCAGAGAGGGAAAAAAACCATGAGAGACTCTTAACTAGGAAATAAACTGAGGGTTGCTGGAGGGGAGGTGGGTGGGAGGATGGGGTATCTGAGTGATGGGCATTAAGGAGGGCACACGATGTAATGAGCACTGGGTGTTATATAAGACTGATGAATCACTGACCCCTACCTCTGAAACTAATAACACAGTATATGTTAATTAATTGAATTTAATAAATTAAATTTCATTTTAAAAAAGAATATCTGATAGCTAAGCAATGATTCTTCTGTTTTGGGAAAGGCCGGGGGAGGGGAGTCAGAAAACCATGTCTTATAACTAATAAATTCTGAATACTAAGTGTAAATAAGGAGTAATACTACATTCATAAAAACTTCTTTACATTTTTTATTATAAAACAGTACATGCTTTTTGCAGGAAATATAGAGCACACCAAAGAAATATCAAGGCAAAAGAAAATCCACTCTTAATCTCGCCACTTAGAGATAACCCCTGTTAGGCTCAGCGTATATAATATTTACCTATCTGTAGGAAATAATAAATTTTATATAAAAAAATACATAAACACTTCCAACAATACACAACGATAGACGATAATAAACTACCACTCAGACTCAATATTCATCAATACTTTTCTACGTTTGTTTCATCTCTCTCATCTTCTCTTCCCCTTCCTCCTTGGAGTATTTTAAAATAAATCCAAGGCATCAGCTCATTACACTCCTAGATACTTCAGAGTACGTCTCTAAAACACCTAGGCTTTTTTTTTTTTTTAAACACAGGAATGTCATTATCATATCTTACAGTATCAACAACAGTTTCTTGGATTCACCTTCTATCCAGTCATTATTAATCATATTTAAATAGAGCAATAGCCCTTCCTTTTTCCCCTCAATGCCTTTGACTTGTTGAAGTAACCAGGTCAGTTGTCCTATAGAACTTCCAATATTCTGGATTTGTCTGTTTTCTTCCTCATGGTGTCATTTAGCTCATTCTGTGAGTTGGAATTTTCCCAAGGCTCAATTAGAATCAGTCTCACCTTATTATTTTTTTTTGTAAGAACATACTTCATAAGTGATGCTCTGTACTTCCTATTACATCAGATCAGAAAGCACATAACATACGTCCTACCCTTAGTTGGCTCACTTGGCCCGAACTCTCACTGTGAAGGTCCTCATCAGCCTTCCACTGATGGTCTCTGCCTCAATTAACGACGTCATTATGATCTTCAAATGGCAATTTCCTTATTCATTCTTTCCACACAAATAAAAACTTAAAAACAGATGAGAGTAATCAACCCACATAGTCACATAATGATTACTGGGTTATATAAAATTAGTCATATGATGCCAGCAGACCACATGAAGTCTGCTATAAATAGTACTTTGTAAAATCAAATAATTATTTCTGGAGTTCCAAAAGGATCTAGGTTTGAGGAGGGCAAGTAGGGGAGTTCCTCCAAAATTTCAAAATATAGACTCTTGGAGGACAAAACTTCCTATCCAACAGTTTCGGTAGTGTATATATTCTTTTCTTGGCTTGAGGATAAATGGTAGGAGCTGAATATACTCTATTTATCAAACTTTTTAAAAAAATTTTTTATTGTTATGTTAATCACCATACATTACATCATCAGTTTTTGATGTAGTGTTCCATGATTCATTGTTTGTGCATAACACCCAGTGCCCCACGCAGAACGTGCCTCTTTAATACCCATCACCAGGCTAACCCATCCCCCCCCCCTC